ACAAGTATCTCACACAAAAAGTCTCACAAGAATTAACAACAACAAAAGCGTAGCGGTTTTAACTTATAAACATACCGATGGGCCACACCACAAAATACATACGAACCACACAGAAAGTTTGACCTCCCGTGCTTACTCTAAAGCAGTGGTTCTCAAACTTTTTAAGCCGCGTCCCCTTTTTAGAATTTGGTAAATATCACGCCCCTCCTCAAAAATAACTAGCTAACAATGAGCTACAAAAACAGATAGTAAGGCGAAAGTCTGTTTCATTCAAAAAAAAAAATACGTGGATGAAACGTAAATATCCGAAGTAAAGAAATGTAATATCCAAAATAAGGCGGGCAAGATCAAATCTAACAAATGTTTTTATGTTAAATTAGCTTACCGCCCCTCAAAAAATTAACTGCGCGGCTCACCGTTTGAGAGCCACTGCTCTAAACATTTCTCAGGAGTTTCACGTTATTTCAACCCAGAACATTCGAAAAATCTCATTCCTGGACATCTGTGTCTGAAATCAGCTATTGATATAATATGTATTTTCTACGACGCTTATTCACGTCGTTCGCTCTGAACTACGCCCTGTACAATCAGCCACAAGCATCTCACGATATGTAAGAAACTATTATTGTTTGGAAGGGTTCCAGCCAATGTAAATATGAAAGACATTGTCCTCATGACTATTATAACTATATGCCTGAATAACGCGACCAACAAGCTGAAAATAGCAGCACGGAAGAAAAGTCATACTGGCAAGAGAGTTATACAAATAATTTTAACAATGGTTGAATCATGAGCTTGACTGAAATATGACCGGCTTACTGCTTACCAGCTAAAACAACCTCTTCACAGACTTGTTCTGAGGCAAAGCGATGGGAAACTCACAAAGAAAACACTTGCTTACTGCAAAATACAAACTCCTCTGCAATTAACTATAAAAAATCGACCTAAAATTCCACCTTTTCTTTGATTAGTTAGCTATTCTGTACATTCCTACAGAAACTTGTTTTAAGTCAGTGGTTCTCAAAAGGTGGGGCGAACTCCCCCGATTTTGGTGGAAAATTTTGTGTGGGCGCGAAAAAATAAAAAATATTTGTTAGATTTGATCTGGCCCGCCATATTTTGAATATTTACATTTCTTTATTGTTTAGATTTAGAGATTACGATTCCATCTACGTATGTTCATAGTGCTTTTGAAAAAAAAAACATACTTTCGCTATACTATGCGTTATTTATAGCTTATTGTTAGCTAATTATTTATAAAATGGAGCGCGAGACTTGGGCCCGGCTTGAAAAGTTTGAGAACCACTGTTTAAGCAAAAGTACCTTACATCCCATAATGCGAACTTCTAAATTTACTGAAAATTAATATATCTCCTCTCAAATTTTCACTTATTTCTGATTAGCTATGCAATCTACATGTACATTGACTTGCTTTGAGCAAAACTGACTGAAAAACAACATGGTTGCCTGCTGTACATTTGTACCTAAAAACCAGCAGTTTCATATAAAACCTTTGTTTGAATTTATAACAATAGTACGGACGCCTGGGGGCATCGTCACGAATATACCAAATAAGCTATTGTCAGAATTTCTAAAAATATTCCGATACGCAGAAAATCTTAAAATACAAGGGGAAATATTTTGGTCATAAATTTTGCCAACTGTCAAATCTTGGCATGTGTGATAAATCAACCTAGCTTCTATATGTTTGATTCTAATCGCTCAATTCTTGAACGCGATGGTCAAGTGGTTAAGCATGAATTCCGAAAACTGTCAAATCTATGTGATAAACATGCGCGCCAATATGCTCAATTCGTGGAATTAGTGGTTACACCGTTAGTCCTGACTAACATTAACCTACCCCCCCCCCCCCCCCCCACCCCCACCCCTCTCCCCTAATCAAGCAATCAAGCCCACACCTAACACATGGTGTAATAAATTGGGAGCACATATCGCGTACACATATATGATTTAACTCCCTCCTGCCCAGACCCCACCCCCCTAACTATGCCCCCACCTAACCCAGGTTGTATTAAATTGGGTAGCACATATCGGGTGCCCATATTGGGTTCCAACCCCCTCTAATTAAGCCCCCACCTTATCAAGGGTGTTATAAATTGGGTAGCACATATCGGGTTCAAATAACTTTATGAACATTCTGTATTCACTAACCATATGCATGGCTAACCATATGCATGGCATCAAATGGTTGACGTACACTTTGAAAAAAACAACTTTAAATTTAAAACAGATTGGATGATAATAAATCTTGTCATACCAGCTCGTCCAAAAATATATCGCACAACCGACCAATTGACCAGACACTTTTTCGATGCAAAGATGAAGGAAAAACGTACGGAAAACACTATTTTCATAGCTTGCCACGTACTTTCAACTGATACTCGCAATCTATCTAGTCTGTGAAATGGGACCTCCTGGAGTATGCGCACCAAAATGGCGCACAACCTGAGCTAAGGTTATGTACCGTGTTAGGGTTCAGGTTATGCGACATCTTGGTGCGCATACTTCAGGAGCACCGTGAAATGACATGTTAGTTAGCTATACGACAATAAAGGGGCTTTCCCCCAAATTTAATCCGTCTATTTGGTTTCTTTTTTCGTACGATAAACACAGTGATTTTAAATACAACCTTTTTTGTTTATTACGACTTTTACAAAGTATGAACTTACAGCCTTCGTTACACAAAGGCACGTCTAAAGTAATTACCAACATTTTACGATTATTGTTCCGATTTATACTCCGTACTACAATTCTGGAAGAAATTGTATGAATATACAGGGTGTCCATAAAGTCCCTTTACAATTTCAATTTTGTTATAAAGTCAGTACTCAATATATCTTAACTAGATTTATTGTTTTCCAATCAGTATTTTTCTAAGTGTTTTTACTTCATTTCATCCATGTGTGAGGGCACAGGAGTGATATAGGAGCTAACAAACAATATATGTATCGATAAATTACCTCTGCAATTTTAAATTTTTCCGGGACTTTGTGGACACCCTTTGTTATTATATATCTTCGATAAATAACGGGTAAACCTAATATTTCGAAACTTAAAATAAAATGAAAAACACTCTGAATTTCGCACCACCAGCAAATCTCGCCCTCTCAGGAACCATTTTCTGTTTCTATTCTCAGGAAAACGCGAAATAGCTAGCAAGCTCATATACAGAATAGCAGTCTAACCATAAATTGTCAAAATTGCAATTGAACAACCATTATAGCGAAACGATGTGGCTTTACAACGCTATGTCTGTTGTCAACGTAATTGATCATCGAGTGAGACAGAGCATACGTTGCTAAGCGTTAATGCTCTAATATTCTGATAAATTTAACGAAGGCTATTAGTGCTAACACGAATCTGTTTGTCAGTAATCAGTAATTTATTTTTTCACCATTCTAAAGCACACAATGTGAATACACAATACAAGAAATAGCAAATATGGGTACTTTAGGGTGAAGGGAGGACGGTGAACTTTAGGAGGCGGTGAACTTACTTTAGGTGAAGGGAGGCCTGCTGTGGGATTGCTGATGTCATAACACCGCACTCTTATATTGGCGGTGGGAATTTACCATGAGTTGTGTCAGTATGTTCCCCAGCATTTTATATTTAGGTGGGGGGAATTTCCAAATTTAGAGGAGGCAGATATTTTGATATCAGTGATAAAAACTATTTGCAACTTGAAAAAATGTCTTATATATTTGACTTGATCATCTTCGCCGACATATGAGCCACTTTCTGAATATTCAAACACATTAAAGCCATGGTGTCACACCTGCAAAATAGGTGACATTTTTTAGGGGTGTAGGGAAATCAATGGCTTGTGTGTTGCAACTAAAGCGATTTTACGTGGATCTTAAACAAATGAGCGCAATAAATTAATAAAAAAAAAAGAAATAACAAATAAATGAATGAAATAATAAATAAATGAAAATAACAAATAACCATCTAACGCAACACCTTAAATCTATATAGTTTTAGTATCTCTCCAGTGGTCACTCGTATCTTTGCTCGGGAATGAGTTTACCTCTGAGCTCTCAGTACTTTTGAAAGAGGAGGATATTTTGGATCGAGACGGTGTTCATAACACATGTAATCTAGTTTGTAAGCGCCAAATCAAAAAAAAAAAAATACTCAAAATATGCATGAAAAAGGTTGCAATGGTATAGTAATGGGGAATTTTTTTTGGTTTCAAGGGTCGGGGAAACAAAAACTTATCTGCACAAATATGACTGAAACAACCCTATCTGCTGAAATAGTACGTCGTCGTGCGGATGAATATTTGTATTGTTCATTAAAACAGACAGTTCCCACACGTCTAAAATGGTAACGTCTTTTTCATTCAGAAATTCATGTTTTAAAATTTGTTCCATGCGGTAAAATAGCCATCGGGTCGAAACACCTCCAATTGTGTGAATACCTTTCATAAAAACTCTAGATTTCGGGGATCTAGCAAGCAATCGCCGTATTGCTTTTTTAATAACAAGTATTCGTTCTAAAAATATGTCGGCACTTGTGGAAAAAAATGTGCTCCGAGAGAAATAATGACCACAGATTTCTCTTTTTCCGATATCGCATCTAAAGAGTCAGAAATGTAAGGTCTTGCAGTTGGCGGTCCATCGCTGTGAAGTGGAGGTCCATGGCTCCTGTAATAAGAGATGTGATTCGGCGTTAGATTAATAACTTGCGTAACGATAAAATAAATCACAAATATATTACGCCGCCAGTATTGGCCCCTGGTTCAAAAGCCTTTCCCACCCCTGCTCTACACTACTTACCTATAATGCAGTGAAACGTTGAAATGCTCTGATATCGCATCTCTTGATATAGACCAACTATTCTTAATTCCAAGATACTCTTTAAACTGATGTTTTTTGAAGCAAATATACCATTTACGTATGACTGAATCTCCAAAGAAATAAACATCGACATCCTTCCAGACATTTGAACAAAGCTTCTAGTTCAATGGGCCATGTTTTTCACATCGCATTGAGTCGCCAATTTTTATTTTGTAACCATCCAGAAATAAGTGGATCGACTTGTTTTATAGTGTTCTTGAATGTATCATAACAATTTTTCTTTTGATAAAAAATTAATTTTTCTTTTTCTTAATTTTTTTCGAAACTTTGAATTTTATTCCTGATAGAGATATTTCAGCTCCATATTGATCGGTTTCTTTATAATATTTTTTCATAAAATTCAATGGAATTTCTCCTTTTTTCATGTCTGTTCCCTTCAAATGAATCTTTTGCTGAGATATTATAGGATTGCATTCTCTTGATGGTGGCTTGATACAAAACCATGGCTCTCCGTTGGTGGGGTTTGTGTAATTGCATAGTTCGTTGTCCCTGTAATATAAAACAAGAGAGCTATGCTCATATATATGGACACGTAGCGCCACCCAATGGTAATAATTTTAATGACGTCATAACGAAAAAAAAAGTAATAGCCTTCTGGAGAAAATTTTTATCTTTAACCACTGAAAATTTTAAAGTAATTGGTCCAGTATTCGAAGAGAAAAGCGATTTTTTAAAAATGACGGAGACAAATAACAATAACAACATAATATTGAAACGATCGCTATGTCCACTACGTGTCCAACAAGTTTCAATAGTTTAGTTTTGCGTCATTTGTGGCAAAATGGAGAGAGAGAGAGATTTATTTCCACAAAACAATGTTAAAAAAGAACAATAGTACAGATTTTTATAGAAATACAGTGCAGTGAATATTTAAACATTGAATCGTGTTGGTCAGTATGCAAGACGTTTGCAGGTCACCGAGGACAATAAATATATTTCTTTCGTCAACCAATCATTGGGATGAATATATGGCAACAGTCATTCTTTGAATAGCCTTGTCGATAGAGAGCTCATTGGGCTGCCAGTTGGTAAGGATTGTCGCAATCGCTCAAGTTCTTCGATTTAGAATAGTAAGGATTAAGGAGGCCTCTTGTCGTAGTCGAATGCAGTGTTTTTCAACCTTTTTCGAGCCAAGGCACACTTTTTTCACTGAGAAAATCCCGCGGCACCCTCCAGCTTAAAATGTGGGGAAAAGACCTAATATTCACAATTTATTTTAGTGTTATATTGTTAATATAAGCTTTTTAACTTTGAAGAAAGATGTTGGATTGGACATCTTGAATAGTAATCAAATAAAACAAGGAAAAAAAGGCAAATCGCCACCTACTGCTGCCACATTCTGCGCTACACCGCATAGACACACAATTTGGAGAATTTCCCACGGCACCCCTGACATTATTTTACGGCACACCGGTGTGCCGCGGCACCCGGTTGAAAAACACGAGTCTAATGGTACCGAAATAGGATTTAGCTAATTTTGAATCTTTAGTATCCTATCTTGATAAAAAAAAAACTAATTTTGCTGTTTTATCAAAAAATATCGCATGAAATTTGTTGGGATTGCGATCAAGTTGAGTTTTACATCTATATTCTACATGGATGGCCCGCCAGTCTAGATGGGCAAAATTTTTGGCCCCCGGTCCGAAAATCTTGGCCACCTCTGGTTTAAAGTTTAGACCCATTGATTGATATTGGTGGGGAAGTCGGGACAGTATCGGCATAAAAACAGGGTCTGGCAAAATTAAATTAGTACGCCGACACTGAGGCAATATTGGGTGTGTTACCGTATATGTCGCTGTGGCTATTTCCCGCTTTCTAATATCTCGAGTTAGGTTGCAGGCCGATAGTGGGATATCGATACAGTACCGGTACGGACAATTATATCACAAAAAGGCGGAATTTGATAATAACTTTGTTTACGAAAAAAGGAAAATCATATATTTTCAACTTTTCATCTCCAGTAATCTCATTATATCTCGAGCGAGCTGAAAGTGATTCGCGGGAAGTCGGTACCGGTACAAAAGTAGGCTATTGCTGACTTCAGTAAGCCAACGGTGCGAATCGTTAATAAATGACAGGTCAGAACAATCTCATTCCAAATACCGATGCTATTATTCCTTGTTTCTCTAGTTGTGGACTTATTACCGATAACAGCATGGAGTAACTTTAGTGCGCCGTTGATGCGAAGCATTGAGATATGATTGGGCCGCATATTTCTAATGACATGTGCCGCTTTTGGCATTTCTCTATTTTCGAGTTAGGCCGAGGGCTTAGTTCCGAGCACTTGTAGTAATAAGCTTGTCGTCGTACGTCGATAATTATGTGCGAGCGGGTTCTGGGTTCCTCCACCATCAAGTCCATGCATATGAAACTGTTATAAACTCTTATTCATATGCCTGGCATGAACTTACAATGGACGAGAGGCCGTAGTTCACCATCTGATTGAATTGTTTTCTTCGCCCGAGAAAAATTCTCATCCTATCCTGTAGTCCAGATTTAAATATAATAAAGAGTACTCACACAGGCTCATCAAATCCTACCGCGCATCTTGAATGCTCGGCTGGGAAGCTTGAATTCATATACTCGCTGGTCACGTATATATTAGCTCCCATTTTAGTTTGATGATTTAACATAAATAAATATAAAAGTTCGCTAGAAAACCTCAGTTTTGCTTTCAGTTCGAAGTCACCTTCACTGACAAGTGGGCATGTTACGTCATAAAGTCCATTGTGATTGTCTGTTATTTTGCAGGGAATTAGGATATCATCAGCTGGCTTGCGATAAAGAATAACTTGAAAGAGGTCACCTCCGTACTGTTTTGTTTGATTCCAATAATTCTTTGACGTAATTACGGCTTCTAAGAGGTCACCGACGAAGTACGGCATCTTTTGTATCGTAATAAAAGAATTATTGGGTGATGTTGTCTCGTTCACGGCAGGGAAATATGGAATCTTGTCAATGGCTATCACGGCGGTTTGAAAATCTGGTAAGTAATTTAACCATTTTCCATAAGTATGATTCCATTTCTTTCTTAATTTTATAATGCTATTTAAAGTTATTTTCCTGCTGCTGAAGTGTTGTATTTTCGGTACCGCGGCGGTGAAATTTGTCGTGTAAATATACAAAAAATATCCAAGTATCACAACATTTAAAACCGAGACAACGACAAACTTTGAAGGATTCTGTTGTATCGTATCTTTCGCTAATCGCATCGTTTGTTTCACTGATTGTTCCATGCTGACCAGACTAGAATAATCTATAACTATTGAATTGATCTATATACTGGCTGGTTATGTGAAGTTTAATTCGTAGCGGACACACACTCGAATTTTCAAGGTTATTGCCTGCTACACATGCCATTACCTCGTTCATTCACCACACCACTGAAGTTATAGATGGGCGTATCCTATTACTGTATTTTAACTGTAATAGCATTTATAAAACTTTAAGATAAAAGTAAGCGTATGAACTAGGATTTATAGTATGTTCTGGGTTAGAATATACATAAAACTTTAGGAAAGAAGGTTAAAAAAAGCACATGAAATAGGATTCATAGTAGCCTATGTTCTGGGTATAGAACGTTAGACTAGTGGTTAGAGTAAGAAAGGTTGAAAAGCATATCAAGTTGGATTCATAGTATAATAGTACATAGTATCTTGGTTAGAATAGATATAAAACTTGTTCATAGTATGCATATGCAATGAGATTCATAGTCGGGGTTAGAGTAGATTTAAAACTTGAGACAAATGGTCATCGTAGGCATATAAAGTAGGATTTAAAATTTTAAATAGGATTCATAGTAGCCTATGTTCTGGGTATAGAACGTTAGACTAGTGGTTAGAGTAAGAAAGGTTGAAAAGCATATCAAGTTGGATTCATAGTATAATAGTACATAGTATCTTGGTTAGAATAGATATAAAACTTGTTCATAGTATGCATATGCAATGAGATTCATAGTCGGGGTTAGAGTAGATTTAAAACTTGAGACAAATGGTCATCGTAGGCATATAAAGTAGGATTTAAAATTTTAAAGTATGTTCTGGGTTAATATAAATATAAAACTTTAGGCAAATGGTTAAACTAAGCATATGAAGTGGAATTCATATTCGGTTCTGGGTTAAGGTAGATTTAAAACTTAGGACAAATGGGTAGAGTAAGCATATGAAATGGAATTCATGGTATGTTCTGGGTTATATAAAACTGAGTAAGCATATGAAGTGATTGGTATTCGTAGTATATTTCAGGTTAGGATATATTCAATACTTGAGGCAGATGGTTAGCGAAAACTTATGAAATAGTAGTCGTAGCATGTTCTTGGTTAGAATATATATAAAATTTTAGAAATTTTTTTTAGGAAATTTAGGAAGGAAAATTTAGGAAAATATAAAGTGGTATTCATGGTATGTTCTGAGTTAGGATAGATATAAAACTTTGGGCAAATGGTTAGAGTGAGCATATGAAGTGGGACAAAAACTTGGGGCAATTAGTGAGAGTAAGCATAGAAAGTAGGATTCATAGTATGTTCTGTGTGAGGATAGATATAAATCTTTAGGCAAATGATTAGAGTAAGCATATGAAGTGGGATTCATGGTATGTTCCAGGTTAGGATAGATATGAGTGTTGAGTCGAATGTTTAGACCAAGTTAAAAGTTTTCAACCTTCTTGTTGATGCAGAAGCCCAATGAGACATTTTGTAGGCTCAAGGAATCCTGTGCAATATTTTAATCGCCATAAACTTGTCTGAATTGTATTAACTATAAATATATATTAAAGCAAACGCAATACTGGCGAAACAAAATTTACTTTAAAGTGTAGCAAGTTTAATAATACTGGCAAACCTAATAAGTATTTGGGTATATCAAAACACTATATACATATCGATATAAACTCTTATATTATTTGAATGGAACTCCACATAGCACCGGAGTGTACTGCCGAAACCTTACGGTGCTGAAGAATCCCGGTTGCAAACAACGGGACTAGGCATATGGGCAAGGTCGTCCTTAGACCAGGGCTACTCAACTGGCGGACCGCGGTCCGAATCCGGACATTTCGGGTATTCGATTCGGACCGCGCATAATTCTTTATTTTGGATCATTAGTCCAACTTTTGGAGTTTTCTTTTATAATATCACTTTTATAGATTTAAAATATATATGAAAAGAACTATAACGCCATAACAAACAATCTTGATTAGCTAATAATCCTTAGTCGGCCAAGGAATTGCGTGTTTGAGGATGCCAAAATGTAATGTCTGGAGAGTCCGGACCCAAATATTTTTGAAGTTTTGTATGCGGACCTTCGGTAAAAATAGTTAAGTAGCCCTGCCTTAGATCAATGCAACATATGCGACAGCAGCTGGACCAGACTTCGATAGGCCGGGCACTGATTGTAGTTATATGAATGGCTTGAGTAAGCAATTCAGATAAAACTGACAGATCGTGCAAATAAATTTCTTAAAGCTGACATCAATCTGGAAGCTATGACTTGTCACAAATACACTTCCTTCTGTCTTAGAAACAATATTTATCTTGCTGAACTTGTTCTCAAAACTCGACACGTTTAGCTTCTATGGTTTCTAACCGATCACGTACTAAGCATTGAAGTATGAATTGCCTTGGGTGTATTACTATGTCCTGGGGCATTTAGTCGTTCATCTTCGACATATAGTTGATCGCAGATAAAAAAAATTATCATTGCCATATTTGCTAGACTTAGTATTTGGTTGAATTTCGGTTAGTATTTCTACCGAGACTGAGCGTCGAGCAATCTGCCACACATATCGCTGTGCTATAGTCAAGGCCGGTCATTTCATTATTGGGTCATATTACGTATTGCATGGAGAGGAGTGGGTGCTTTCATGTGCGTCTGTAAATCGGCTACTTGCAGGTCGGTTGGCAAACGGCTTGATGATTGGAGCCTTGTGGCATCTTGTACTACGGTGATCATCCTTTCAGTAAGTGACTAAACAAGGTGTTCGAGCGTTGTATGTTGTGTTGCGTACTTACTATACCAGGGCTACTCAACTATTTTTACCGAAGATCCGCATTCAAAACTTCACAATTATTTGGGTCCGGTGTTTCCAGATATTATATTTCGGCATCCTTAAACACGCACTTCCCCGACCGGCTAATGATTATATCAGCTAATCGAAATTTTATATTATGGTGTTATAGTTCTTTTGATATATATTCAAAACAATAAAAGTTATTTTATAAAATGAAACTTTAACTGTGAGGCTAATGATCCAAAATAAAGAATTAGGTGCGATCCGAATCTAATACTCGAAAGATCCGGATTCGGACCGCGGTCCGCCAGTTTACTAGCCCTGCTTTATACTATCTATTGAGTCGTAAGACATTCCACACTTGCCACACGATTTATTCGCCATTTTATGCTCCGGTACATAATTATTTTCCCCGGGATCCGAACCAGCTTACTAATTCTGTAGATCAGCAAAATATGTTGCTGCGCTCGCCACCGCATCTCTGATTACCCTTCGTGGAATCGCAGGTTCGAATCCCATGCGGGGATGATCATGTGCGAGAGGATTGCTGGACTCGTCGCCGCCGTAAGTTGGTTCACGTAACCGCTGGTCGGTTACGGCTTCCTCCACCACCATGCTTTTGAAAACAAATACCTGGCTAACTAATCCCATACCCGACCTGGACTGGTAACCGGACGAGAGGCAGTGGTTCGCCATATGATTAAGCCGTCTCATCGGATTTCCTCTCCCCTGGGGTAAATATGTAAATCGTATCCTATCCTTATTTCTATGTGGCCAATGTCCGCATTCGTTCATGCACCTTCTTGCTTGCAAAATTATCCTACGATGCAAGTCAAAGACTGAAATTCGCCAATAACGCGTTTTCTCGGGGCTGATTGTTTTTGTCATCATGTATTATAATGTAATAACGAAACAAAATAAATACCATCTAGACTAGAATCTAGATCAGCTTCACGTTGCATTAAACAAACTTGTTTGCGTAAAATTGCAATTTCACCGCTTGGTGTCGTAGTTAAACCAAAAAATGAACACAATTTTGGTGCCGCCAACTTTGAAATTTGAAAGACATCTTTTTATTTAAAAACATTAGTATATTCTGCCATTTAAAACTCAATGATTTAAAATAGATGGAGCCATTGAAAGGTCCTTCATAATCGATGACAGGAACTGCTCTGAGTCATCTCAGTCCACCATGCCTATCTTTTTCGAAATCATCACTTTTGAGAACTACGCGAAAACAGCTGATTTGAAGGACAACGCACATAGGTAGTTGGAATTGAATGATATGCTCTGTGTTGGTTCGATCCATGGCCAAATTTGCTGATTTGTGAATGAGGTTTTCTCACTAAAGCTACAAAAAGTCCGCGTCTTCTCCCGGGATTTCAAATAAAAAAAACTCATCTAATTCGGAGGTAATATTAAATCTCGTTTGTTTCTCAAATCAAGTTTTATCAACGTTCCTGAATTTCCGCCCTGTGTGTTGTCTTGCGTTTGGACCTTTCCCCGACCTTTGATCCCCGAAAAATTCTTCCTATACTTTACCATTGCATTCCTAACTCCTAAAAATACAGAGTGATCATTGAATTATCTGATTTATATTCAAATTTCCGAAACACAACTGAAAACTAACGAACAGAGTTTAAAAACGCGAAACCGAGGTAATGTTTACGACCACGCCTGGAAATCTGTCTGAGTGGAAAAAGGGTCTGAGCGGATGCGAAAAGGGAGCATTGTTACTTCACTTTTTGCATCTTGCTGATTGGCCAATGTCACGAAGTAAACCAGGAAGTCGATGCTCGGGGAAAGGTCTATTGTAATTTGTTAATACCATGAGTCCATGACGAAATTCAAACAAAATATCCACCTATTTTCATTTACACTAATTTGCCAGTAAAATTTCCGATTTTTCACTGACCTTAAGTAATCAATAATGGTTTCCTGGTGGGAAATAAAAACATTTAATCGTGACCTTCTATGACAATCAATGATTCTAGTCTGCCCATCAAATTTTGACCGCAAAAAGGACAATTATCGCCTTTAAGTGAGATTATCAACGCCATGTCTAGACTTACGCTCACATCTGAAAATTGTCTCAGTCCAATATCTGACCAAATGTAATGAATCGTACATATTGCTAAAATAAACTGTAACAAGATTTATACATTTCATAAATATTAATCAAACCTTTATGGGTGGCAGAATTCCGCACGGTATGACGCGCTAAGTTTTGATTATAAGTTAAGTTTTTTTGCTTGGCATCTTTTGACTGTATACTTCACATAATTAAAAACCGAAGCGGGCTTTTCGGCCCGATTTGTGCATGAGTTACGAATACAGACCCCGGTTCGAGTTGGACAAATTAAATATTCCAACATTGGGAAAAAATTAAAATGCTCAATTAATTATAAAT